TATAACTTAGTAATAATGGTGAGTGCCAAAGACTTTGTAACATTCACACAGACTGCTTGAATCCTGCTGACAATGAAAGACTAAGGTCAAGCTTTGTACTTCTGGCATTGGCAACACATTTCAGGGCCTCTACAGCAGAGCCAGAGAGATTCACTTGTTGGGACATCTGACCCACAGGGCAGTAAAAGTATGAAACAAGCAATGGGGGCAAGTTCATATCTCAGTCGGACACAGTTGGAAGACAGCTCATATTGGCAGGGCCCTAGCATGGTTATTACTCTATCCCTGCATAACAGTGTAGGAGGATGCTGACACATCAGAGCACAAGTGAGAACAAAACCAACTCTTTGCACTCAGCTGTTACAAAGAGTTTAATTGGTTCTTGCTGTATACATAGCTGCAAAAGTAGCAAAGGACTGAAGTCCCCTCATGTTTGGTCAAGATCTTGCTTTCTTTCATCTGTTGTGCAAATGCTGATGGGGGTCACCTGCCTGGAGGGGGTCAGGACTCTGCCAAACTGATTTAAGGAGGGTACGCACAGTCCAGACATCCCAGCTTAATGGTCAGTGGCTCAGTAAGAAAACCAAGATTTCACTAGTGGATGGCTCCATTCCTAAAGTTTGTAAGGAAGAATGATACCCTGGCAAACCTTCTCTACAGGTCTATGCTGTTTTTATCTAACAAATAAACCCCTTACACCTAGCAGGGAGATTCACTTAAAGCTCCATACTCTCACTACAGGCAAAAAACCTAAATGAAGTGTAGAGTGTGGGAAGAACTGGAGATTGTAACTAAAGGCTCTGGGAAGAAATGATGGAGAGAGTAAAAAAGAGAAGTACCCACTCTGCAATAGGGTGACATTCTTGCATTCTGGGAGAAGTATGATTTTGGTAAATATATGGCTTGTCTACAGACAGGAGACTAAAAGCAACATAATGATTAAGATTATGTTATAATATTTTAATTAATAACTATAGCTTTGCTACACTAACACTTCAGAAGACATAAAGATATCTAAAAAATGGGTCTAACCTACCTGCAGGGAGAGTACTTATGTGATAATATAAAACCCCACTAGTTTGCAGGCATCTGAAAAATTGTGCCTCAGTTTCCCAAAATGCTAAATCCACTAATATTTGTAAAGCACTTGGAAATTGTCCAGAGGAAAGTGCTGAATGCAAACAATAAATCGCTGATTTTATCTGCAATATATAATGATTATTATATAATGATCTGCAATCTATAATGATTTATCTTCACATTTTTATACAGTGTATGACTGCAGACAAAAAAATATTCTCAGCATTTAACTTCTGGTCAAATAGGAACAGTACATTGACATGAGCCAGCTCTATCAGAGTGACTAACGGTTATACAATACCCACAGCATTCAGGGTTTGATCTTAAACCAATGGAAAATACAGAACTTCTTGTATTGTAGGCTGATGATTTATTGACTACATGTTTTCAGAGGGAATGGATTGTTGTAACACACTGGGGGAAAACAAAAAAAATTATATTAAAGGAAAATCATGTTACACCTCTGGAAGAGTCCAGGAAACTTGTATACAGGAATCAGCAGAGACAAATATTCTTAAACAGTTCCTCAGTTGTTTCATTCCCTCTTGAAAAGGTGGTTTGCTTTCACCAGACAAGCAAAGGAGCAGAACTGGGAGGCTAATGCAGAACAACATGTATTCCCATGTATATCTACAGAAGGTCACAGCCTTCTGTAGATTTGAAAGAAAACAGATGGCACTGCAGGACCAAGAGTGTGCAGAGAGATTAATGATTTTTAAAGACCAGCATGATTTACTTAAAAATATCCTTTTTTAAAAAATTATTTTTAAAGTACTGAGCTTTTCTGGAAAATGGAAGAACTCAAAATATTTGTTAGTTACAAAAGTATCAGCAACAATATGCTATTATTGAGTATGCCTGTCTGAAATGTTTTAAGAAATATTTAAATGCAACAGAAAATACAAAACATCCCTAAAGAATAACTAGAGAAGTGTTAGCAAGTTAAATATTTTCTGAAAAATTGTCACTCTTTGTAATTCACTTTTCAAGTGGGGAACCAGAAGAGATGCTGATCCCTTTTTTACAATGTCAAAAAGACATATATATTGCTAAAATGAGGGTATAGTTTCTTCACATGCTTTCTTGACACTTAAAGGAGTCCAAAATATGAATCAGTTTCTGGAGGTTTGTGATGTGTCTGGTCAGTTTCCTCAGTCAACATCTTACAGATATGACCGCTTCTCCCCTGGAGAATAGCTGAAACATCAGAGGATGTTCACATTGTGTTCTCTCACGAAGACCACAGGAATATAAAATCGACTACATAGAGTCAGAAGTCCATCTAAACCAGTACCATATCTTCAAGTAAAGGTCTGCTGCAGATGTTTAGGGAAAACATATAAAAATACTGCATATAGTCTGATTCAATCCTTTCCGCTCAATCCTTTCCATTGTTTAGGACTTGAAGATGGGATTATAGCTAGATTATCATGTTTAATAGCTGCCAGTGGACCGATCCTCCAAGATTTTTCACCTCTTCCCACAGCTTTGCCTTAGGAGAAGAGAATATTGCCATGTGCTCTTAAACCTTCAAATGTATTCTTGCATGATTTCTTCACAATAAATCCATCCTGGATCATGCTCCTGGGAAGAAATGTTCCTTCTCTTTTCTGTGTCTGTGTTTGTGTATTTTTTTTATGAAACTGTCCTGGAAACACGTCTTCACATCAGATCTTATACTGCTACATTGGACCTTATCATATTCTTCAAAGAGGAACAGGGAGCTGTACAAGTTTCTATCTCTTAAGACTTCACAGCTCTTTAATCCAATTCTTTAATCAGCTAAAAAGTTTGCCCCTCCAAACAGCAAACAAAATGGAAAGCCCCCCCCAAATCAGGCTTGTTGATGGTCTTGAATAATAAAAGCTATAAAACAGTAGAAATGTGTTCTTATTTATGCTTCCTTTATAAAAGTACTATACCAAGGAGACAGAATAGGTTTGTTTGGTCTCACAAATCAGCTTTGTCCTTATTTCAAAGAAGAGCTGGGCTGGTACATACATTGCCTGGTGTAGGAGTCTAGAAATGCAGGGATATTTCTCTGTCTATATAATTCTTTAAAAGATACATCAATCATATATAATATTGATTAAAAGGCTTCCAAATATCCCTGAGCGAGCCAGAATTTGTATGAAATTAAATAGAAAGTAGAAAAATGTTTCTTTTAACACAGAGGTGAAAGTATAGATTTTAAGAGGGTTCCACACGTGGAGTAAAGATGGAGGAAAAAAGGTGTAGTTTTTAATCTTTCTTCTTCCTTCTCCATGCTTCTGCAGTTTATAGAAGCACAAAATATGATTGGTTTAGAGTTAGTCGCACTTTTAATTACACGAGTAGATATAGAAAACTTATTTGTTGAGATATAATAACAATACACGTGTCTGTAGTTAATAGGACAAAAGTTAGTATAAAGGTAAAAAGACCGCGTGGTTCGAGGCCATTTTGTATCATTAGAACGAAATGAGCCAGGCTGTGGTGATTTAAGCTTGTGCAGTTAGTCTGGATAGACCTGCCAAGTTTTGTAAAAATCCTGTCAATAAACACGAGAAACCAGAATCTAATAAGCCCGGGAGTTTTCTTCGAATAATAAGGACTGAGATAAGTGGGACTCCCCGCGAGGGAGGATCCCAAGGGAATTCAGCCCAAAGGAGGCTGAGAGACTAGAGAAAAGTTATATCTACAGAAAATTCAGCCCAAAGGAGGCAAGAAGAGAGAAAGTAGCAAGTGGTGCCCCGTGTGTGTGCTACAGATAGCTCACGAAAATCTTTATCAACGCCTGCTTGGATCAGAGCTCCGGACAACCCATCTGCTATCGAACTCCAAAGTTCCAAGGGCCCTGACCTCCGGACACTGGATTCTGCTGGTCGGTAATCCTCGTAGATAGCCATCTGAACCAGTAAGCTCGTTCCAACCTTACAAGATGGGATCAAATATCTCTAGAGGAGAACAGGCAATCTTAGAAAAATTAGAGATTGTTATTGAACAATATCATTATAAAATTCCTAGGAATGAATTAGAATTATTGTTATTGTGGATAAAAGAGAATTACCTTCAGAATAACTGAAGAGCAAATATTTCAACCGTGTATATGGGCAACTATAAAAATGAAATTACAAGAATCAAAAATCCCAGAGACATGGGTACCGGAAAAAATGATAGAGAGAGATGTGATATTCTTTTTGATGTGATGTATCAGTGTCATTTTCGAGATTGCCTTCCCTGGAAAGTGGGGAGGGGAGAGATATTGAACTGCCCTTTCTGGAGCATCGGGAAGCTCCAAAAAGCCTCAGCGGCATGGTTACCCCTAACCCCATCCCGTCGGAGCATGTGGGGGAGGAGGGAGGACTGCGAGAGGTGGCGGAACATCAAAAAGGTTCCACCGAGACTTCAGAAAGCAAAGTGAGCAGTTTGCTGCAATATTGGAGACAAAAAAGTCGCGCGCGGAGACATGAGGAATGGCATAGAGTCTTTATGGAATTATTACAATCAGAAGAAATAGTGCTGGGCGGTGAAGAAAGTATTAGAAAATATCCATGCTATTTCTAAAACCACGCCTTTAGAACAACCCCCTTACCCGCCTCTGTCAGAGGAGCCAGAGCGAGGGAGGGAGTTCTCCCCGCCCTCTGACAAAATTAATAGCCCAGAGATTATATCAGGAAAAAAACTAATAAAATAGAGCATGCCCAGCAGGCTAGCTCAAATATACCCGCCCAGCAGGCGGAATCAGAGGCTGCCCAAGAGGAGGAGCCACAAGGGGCGGCGGGAGATGGCGGATTGGCCGCGCCGCAGGGAGACCCCGCGGATATAGTGGGGAGAAATTAGGAGCAATACCAAAGCGCCGCCTTAAAAAGGCAGGGAAAGGAAGGGGGCTGGCCAAAACTATAAAGGCACGCCCCGCAGGGAGACCAGTGACGCGGTCCATGACGAGGAGGGCCCAACCCACCAAAGCGGAGATTGGGGAAACCCCCTGCCAAACCGCGCATGCGCAGTCCGGCACAGCTACCGAGTCTGCGCACTTTAAACATAAAGACAATTCGGCAACGAAGGATCATCTACTATAAGCGTCATTAGTACTGAGAGGGATTAATCTCTTAAAGAGATTATCCCCCTGATTCTGCATTTTTAGTTTTTTCATATTTCCTGGAAATTATAAAAACAATTAATAATGACTCGGCAGTAACAAGGGAGTTACAGCCGATTGCTGAAGCAACAACACCATATGGGCAAACAATATTACATCAGCCCTCACCATCATCAAAAATTGTAAAGGCACAGCATGTGGAGGATGATAGCATTTTAGCCATTACTGCTGGTGAAGGAATTCCACTGTCATCATTTAAAACACAAGATTTTTTCTTTCAAGCTGATAATTCAGCTTTTCAAAATACTGATTCAAAGGACTGGTTTTCAAAAAAATATTCCTCCTCTTCAAGAACATTACAATATTCTTTAAATTTCCAGGATCTAATTGATCCTAATTTTACTCAGCTCCCACAATCACAAAATTTTCCTATGATACCTCAAATTCTAATAAAAAAACCCCAAAGATCAATATGGACCCTTCCTCAAAGAGAAGGGGGAGGAACAGGTGCTCCTGGAAACATTGAGGATATTGCAGTATTACCAGTGAGATCTGGAATAAGGGAGGATGTCCCAAGATGGGAACCAATAGATGGTTCACTTTTAAAAGACCTACTGGATGCAGTAGAAAAGAGAGGACTTGGCTCCCTGTATTTTAAACAATTATTGAGAGGCCTCTTTCGCAGTCACGAAATGATACCTTATGATTGCAAATACATAGCAATAGCAATATTTACAGACTCACAACATATGTTATGGAATAAGAAATGGAGAGAAGCCCTCCAAGAATTGAGAGATAAATATGCAAGAGGACCATATGCACACATCACAGTAGCCCAGATGGCAGGAGATATCCCATATCATAAACCAGAAAGTCAAATGACAGATTTGCCTCCAGAAGTGCTCCGAGATATTATAGAAGCAGCTGAAAAGACACTGCTGCAGATTCAACCTTCTGGACCCTCAGAAGGTATTTACACTGAAATAAGGCAGAGTCCTTCAGAGCCTTTCACCACTTTTGTGGATCGCCTCACACAAGCAATTGACCGACAAGTGATGGATGAAAATGTGAAGCCACACTTGCTTCAGGGTCTTGCTTTTGCGAATGCTAATGCAGAATGTCGACGTATTATCAGTGCCTTGCCAGGGTATCCAGCAATTGAAGAAATGATAGAGGCCTGCAGTAAGATATGCACTTCACAAGTTGAAAGTGTTTCAGCAGAAGAATTTCAAAAGTTACTTGAAGAACAGTGAGAGGGATTTCAGAAAATATTCAAGAGCATGGAATCAGGATTTCAACAACTTAATTGTACAGACATGGTGGAAGCAACACTTTTCAAAGGAATATGTTATCAATGTGGAAAACAGGGACATATAAAGAAGAATTGTATATCACAGAAAAAAGCACAAAGTCTTTGCCCTAGATGTAGAAGAGGAAAACATCATCCTAGTCAATGCTTCTCCAAAACAGATGTAGAAGGAAGACCTTTGGCAATGCTGGGAAACTTCAAAAAGAGCGCGCCGAGCCACCGCGCGACAACACAAGTGGTGGTAAGGGAAAACCCTCAACATCAATTTTACTGAATTCTTCCAATCAGAAAGTGATCATCAGGGAACAACAAACTGACTCACTTAGCAAGACTATTTGTCAATTCCCCAGTGATCCAGATTTATTACCACCAGGTGCACAATGTGAATTAAGGACTTCAAAAATGGTGTGTTTTCTTAATGAGGATCATGCAGTGATCCATACAGGAGCTACTGGAGCATCAAGAAAGGACAGGATTTTTGATAATAGGCAGGGACAGATGTACTATTTTGGGACTTATTATATATCCATGTGTTGTCTCTGCAAATTATAATGAAGAATTAACAGTACTAGCTAAAGCTTTATGTCCTCCATTGACTCTTCCAGCAAACACATTGATAGCCAAAGCTATTGCCTTGCCTCCACATGCAAATACTCCAATCAAGATAAAGACCAGAGAGCGGACTGCATCTGTCAACGAATATATAGAAGTTCGTGCTACCTGGGTGAAACAAATTAGTCGTGATCGACCTGTAATCACTTGTAGGTTAACATATGATAAAAATACAGTCTGAATACAAGGAACAGTCGATACAGGCGCAGATGTTACAGTCATTTCACATCTTCTCTGGCCCGGGGAATGGAGTTTAAAAACTCCTTTGAGTGCCCTCTCAGGCATTGGAGGGAATACCTTATGCCTGCAGAGTGAACATCCCATTATCATTACAGGGCCAAAAGAAAAGACAGCTATTGCGAGTCCTTTTGTTGTACAGAGACCCTTCACAGTATGGGGAAGAGACATTCTATCCCAGTGGGGGATGAGAATTGAAATGGATTTTTGATATGGGCCACTGAGGCACTCACCACCTTGAAATTGACCTGGAAAACAGATGACCCTATTTGGGTGGACCAGTGGCCCCTGGAAAAAGAGAAATTGAGTGCTCTAGAAGAATTAGTCCAAGAACAGTTGCAAAAAGGCCACATTACACCAACTACTAGTCCCTGGAATTCTCCAGTTTTTGTAATTCGTAAAAAATCTTCAGGTTCGTGGAGATTGATTCATGATCTCAGAAGAATCAATGAGGTCATTGAGGAAATGGGACCCCTTCAACTTGGACTTCCATCTCTTTCAGTGATTCCAAGGCACTGGCCAATCATGATCTTCGACCTCAAGGATTGTTTTTTTAACATTCCACTTCATCCGAAAGATGCTCCAAGATTTGCTTTTTCAGTTCCAAGTATTAATAGAATGAAAACTCTACAGAGGTATCATTGGGTGGTGTTACCACAAGGTCTCCGCAATTCTCCAACGATTTGCCAATGGTTCGTGGCACGAACCCTGTCTCCAGTGAGAGAAAAACATCCAAAGGCATTGATCATTCATTATATGGATGATCTGCTCATCACTGCAGCAACAAAGCAGGAACTGGAGAAGACTCGCGACAGCATGTTTATGGAAATTCGGAAAGCAGGACTAGAAATTTCAACTTCAAAAATTCAAGAAATTTCGCCATGGAGCTATCTAGGTTGGAAGATCACAGCACAAGAAATAAGACCGCAGAAAATACAAGTAAGAACTCAAGTCAATAACCTACAAGAACTACAGCGACTCCTTGGAGAAATCAACTGGGTCAGAACAACTTTGGGAATCACGAATGAGGAACTCTCACCTTTTTTAAATTTGCTTAAAGGGGACACTAACCTTAGAGCTCCCAGAACTCTCACACCTGAAGCTCAAAGAGCTCTTGAAAATATCACCGAGGCTCTCCAGAAACGACAAGCCCATCGAGTTTCAAGAACTCTCCCCTCTTTTTTGGGAGTATTAGGGGAGGGCATTCAATTGTATGGTCTTATATTCCAGTGGGACAATTCAGAGAGAGATCCTTTGTTGATAATAGAATGGGTATTCTTGCCCTACAGATTCCCTAAAACAATTTATACTGCATTAGAGATGGCAGCCCAGATAATTATCAAAGCCAGAACTAGATTGTTAACAATGACAGGTAAAGATTTTACTACGATTTACCTGTCTCTGAAAAAGGATTATTTAGATTGGGCATTGCAAAAGTCGGATGACTTACAGATTGCATTGCTAAATTTTACAGGAGTTTGTTCAAGTCATTTCCCCAGTCATAAACTGTTACAGTCCAAGATAAGTTATAAGGAAAAACCTAAACTGAGTGAAGTACCATTAAATGCAATAACTCTATTTACTGATGGTTCAGGGAAAACCCACAAAGCAGTTATAACATGGCAAAATACCACTACAAAGAAGTGGGAATCAGATATTCAAATAGTACAAGGCTCACCCCAAATCATAGAATTGGCTGCTGTAGTTCGAGCATTTCAGTTGTTTCAAGAACCCTTTAACCTGATTACAGATTTGGCTTATGTAGCAAATATTGTTAAAAGAACAGAAGGATCTCTTCTGAAAGAAGTAGATAATGAGAATCTATATTGTTATCTTATCAGTATGCAACAACTAATAGGACAAAGAGAAAATCCGTATTTTGTTTCACATATTAGAGCACATTCTTCTCTCCCAGGGTTTCTAGCAGAAGGAAATGCCCGAGCAGATAAACTGACCTTAATTATTTCAAACACTTTACCAAATATTTTTGAACAGGCAAAATTAAGTCACACATTCTTTCATCAGAATGCACAAGCGTTGATGCACACTTTTCATATTTCAAAAGAGCAAGGAAAAGCCATCATAAATGCTTGTCCAGATTGCCAGTTGGCACAGCCTCCTGTGTCTACAGGAGCAGTAAATCCAAGAGGATTGGAGAGTTTGCAATTATGGCAAGTGGATGTCACTAAATATCCATCTTTTGGGAGATTTAAGAACATCCATGTATCAGTAGATACTTTTTCAGGTGCAGTTTTTGCCTCTCTACACACAGGAGAAACAGCAAAACATGCATGCAGACACTTTTTACAAGCGTTCGCATCATTAGGTGTACCTAAAGAAATTAAAACAGATAATGGTCCAACATATAAAAATCACACTCTCGAAGAATTTCTAAAAAAACGGGGTGTTTATCACATTACTGGCATTCCCCATTCATCAACAAGTCAAGCAATTATTGAAAGAACGCATCGTACTTTAAAATCTGTTCTAGACAGGCAGAAAAGAGGAGAGGCAGAAGCTACGATTGAATAAAGCACTGTATGTTTTGAATTTTCTAAATAACTCCTTTGCAGAGCAAATTCCACCGATTATTAGACATTAATAGTACCCAGGCAAAACTAAAGGAGAAACCTTTGGTTTTGATTAGAAACTCAGAATCAAAACAAATAGAGGGTCCATTTCAACTAATAACTTGGGGGAAAGGATATGCTTGTGTCTCCACAGATGCAGGAGCAAAGTGGGTTCCCGCGAAATGTGTGAAACCATACTGGACCGAGAAACAAGCAGGAGAGAAAAGAGACTCCAGAAATCGAGAAGCCAGCACACAAACGTGATCTTGTGTGAAGACAACATCTCAAGCACTGAAGAATTAATGACATTAAAAAATATGTAGACTGAGAAATTTAAGAGAGAATTGTTCATCATAGAAGTTTAAGAACTTTTGAAGGAAGATAAGGCTTTTGAATGAGATCAGTTAGTTATTTTATTTGTACCTTATCTTTTTATTGATTGCCTTAAGCAATACAAATTTGCTCATGATTCAGTCAAGTGAAAATGTCTAAAAACATTGTTTTCTCGGCTGATTCATGGATAGGGAAGCCAATCTAAGAAAACTAAAGAAAGCTTTTGCAAAGAGAAGGGGGAGATGTAGGAGTCTAGAAATGCAGAGATATTTCTCTGTCTATATAATTCTTTAAAAGATACATCAGTCATATATAATATTGATAAAAAGGCTTCCAAATGTCCCTGAGCAAGCCAGAATTTGTATGAAATTAAATAGAAAGTAGAAAAATGTTTCTTTTAACACAGAGGTGAAAGTATAGATTTTAAGAGGGTTCCACACGTGGAGTAAAGATGGAGGAAAAAAGGTGTAGTTTTTAATCCTTCTTCTTCCTTCTTCTCCATGCTTCTGCAGTTTATAGAAGCACAAAATATGATTGGTTTAGAGTTAGTCGCACTTTTAATTACACGAGTAGATATAGAAAACTTATTTGTTGAGATATAATAACAATACACATGTCTGTAGTTAATAGGATAAAAGTTAGTATAAAGGTAAAAAGACCGCGTGGTTCGAGGCCATTTTGTATCATTAGAACGAAATGAGCCAGGCTGTGGTGATTTAAGCTTGTGCAGTTAGTCTGTTTTGTAACAGACTGTGCAGTCTGTCTGTTTTGCCAAGTTTTGTAAAAATCCTGTCAATAAACACGAGAAACCAGAATCTAATGAGCCCGGGAGTTTTCTTCGAATAATAAGGACTGAGATAAGTGGGACTCCCCGCGAGGGAGGATCCCAAGGGAATTCAGCCCAAAGGAGGCTGAGAGACTAGAGAAAAGTTATATCTACAGAAAATTCAGCCCAAAGGAGGCAAGAAGAGAGAAAGTAGCACCTGGGGTTTAGTAATTTAGTACACAGTGAAGAGAAAATTACTCTCCAGCAAAAACAAATGTGAATTTCAAAATTCATGAGCAGAAATAACAGCTTCAGCAATTATTACTGGAAAGTCATCAAGGCCTTGTTATTAAGGGAGGAAACCTATTTCTTTCTTGTTGCCAAAGTTTTCCCCAGTTCCTCAAGGTTACCTCTATTTCCATTTTCACACAGTCTAAATGGGAGCTGGAGATCTTTCTGATCTCCAGCTCCCATTCCTTGAATTCCAGCAAGTCTTCTGATTTCATCCCTTTCTTATCTGCTTCCTTCTTTTTACCTTAAGTCCAGAAAAGCTTTATCACTGGTATAAGTCTGCTGTACTGTCAGAATAACTTTTCTACTAAATCAAAAAACCCTGAGCTTCTCCTGGTCAGTTTTACTATTCCATGTTACAGAATCACAGAATATCCTGAGTTGAACGGGACCCACAAAGATTAATCCAACTCCTGGACCTGCATAGGACCATCCCCAAGAGCCACACCATGTGCCTGAGAGCAATGTCCAAAAGCTTCTTGAAGCTTCCAAAAGCTTCTGTCAGGCTTGGTGCTGCAACCACTGCCCTGGGGAGCCTGTTTCAGTGTCCAACCACCCTCTGGGTGAAGAACCATTTTCTAACACCCAATTTAAACCTCCCCTGATACAACTTCAGGCCATTCTCTCAGGTCCTGTCACTTGTCATCATAGATTTTTGGCCAGTGTCTAGTGAGCTCTTACTATTAAAAGTTATAATCTGACACCATAGAGATCACCAGAGAAGCCAAAATCTCAGGTGTTGAAGTACCATGTAGAAAACTGAAAATATAAATCTAACAGGGAACATGAACTTTGAGCAACATACGAACCAGACAAAAAGCCTCAGGGAGGGAAAAGCTTGTTTGACCATCACCAGGTACCCATTTAACACACAGCAGTAAGATAGCTTGAGGCTACTCTACCAATAGCACTACTCAGGGTGTGATGCATTTATGTGCATGTGTCTATGTGGTTCTCAGCAAATCACAGCTGGGTACATCCTGTCAAGAGAAATAGACCATGAGGACAGGACAGACACACCAAAGCTCATGGGAGCTTCCAGCAACATGGGACGCATTTGTCTTGGCTTCCACTGCTGTAAACCAGTAGTAGTTTCATGGACCTTCAGAGAGTTACTCTGCTGTAAAGAAGTATGTGAGCAGAATCAAATGCACTCTGTAGATTTGCCCAAGTCCCTCAGTAAGCACTTTAAAAACAGCTTACAATTTTGCTGCCTCAATTTTTGAGTGTCTTGGTGTCTTAAAAGGCACTAAAAATAAAGAGCCAAAATTACAGGTTACTTTGCACAACTGGGACCTCAGTTTCTCTGTACTAAGTTCTGCTGTTCCTTGGATTTAGAATTGAAGAATGGAGTAAGTTTCTTGAACAATACAAAGCTACAGAAGACTTTTATTAGATGAGAGCTGACTTGCAGTCTCTGTGTCTCAGGTCACTGAGGTCAGAAGATAACAATTATTTGGCCTGATGACACAGACTTGTGCCAAACAGAAGTAACCTCATTGTTAAGTGGAATTGCAGAACTATGATAAATTATTCAGACCTACTGCATGTTAGTATGTACACTGAAAACTACCAGTTTTCTTCACATGCCTGAGTTCAAAGGAATCTGATATTAGGGATCACAATAGGCAAATGGAAAAGCCACATGAGACACCACTGTCAATAATCAACAAACCAGAAAGCATGGGAAAATACACATGAACTTGTTCATCCAATGAAAATTAGACCAGTCAGCTTTCTTTTAATTTAGGAACATGCTGTACTTGCCTGGGGCTTACAAGGGCGGGGAAGGGAGAGAGGGTCAGCTCTCCATAGGACTGACCCAGGTTTGAAAATTCACAGCAACTGAAGTGCTGGAAACCAAGCTTCCCACACATCCTTCCTCTAAGTGTCAGGAAATATTGTCCCCTGATTGCTCAATCTTGAAGTCAGATGGCTGGCCTGGAGGGACTAGATAGATTTCTTGGATGCCATCAGACCTTGGGGGAATTTTATATCAATGAAAGAAGATGGAGCAAACCCAAACAGTTTTGGAGATCCCTTCAAGATACTATTAAACTCTTGATGAGCCTCCCTGTCAGTGAAGTACAGTAAGTTCACCTCATATCTGTACTTGGCAAGAAAAATTTTTGTCACTGATTTTCAGGATGAACAGAACTACACACAAGCACAACTAAAACAAACAGCAGTAATAGCAGCAGACAAGTGATATGGTGTGGTAAAGCCACTAGGATATCCAGGGAATTTGCTTACTCAGCTCTGTGAAACCATGAGACCTCATTTTGTAACACATAATACAGACTTTTAAAACCTCAGGGTTGCACTGTCATAAGCTGTAACAGGCAATAACTTTCTCTTCCACAAAACAAAACTGAAAAGATGCCTGCCTTGTCGATATTGTGTTTTTTCTATCTTGCTTCCAGGTTAAGTCCATCCATAGATGAACTACCAATTTCCTGGCTGGTATAATCTCATCCAAATTCAAGGATGCTAAAACCTATATATTGTCACTGGAACTGAATTTATGTCCTGCCAAATCAGTATTTCTCTTCCCATTTTTCTTCTCAGCCTTCCACTCAGTGTGCAACTTTCCCACTGAACCACAGCTGACAGCCTACAGGGAATTTCCAGACTTGCAAACCCCTGCAGGTGGTGTTGCTAACACATTGGATGCTGAGCTGAAGGAAAGAGAGAGGAATAATGAGTCAGAGGGGTAGCAGTCAGATGAAAACACCCCAAATATGGAATTATCTCCTCCTTAGCCCCTCATCTTACCCTCTCAGCTTTCAGCAGTTCTGAATATATTAGTCCTGTATTGCCCAAAGTACTTTAGAGAGACTAACTGTTGAACCAGGTAAAAAGTATTTGTGGCTCCAGACACTTGTCTTGGCTGTGACAGCTCTCAATTTTTTATTTGGACATGGCAAACATTTCTAACAAGTTACTATATTCCTCAAGAATATTTTTTTTCTTTCACCTTGCCAGCCAGTGTGATTAGGCTTTTGTTAAGAAAAATAGTAGCTTCTTGGAAAAGGAGCTGCTAGGCCCACTGGAAACAAAATCTAGTAAGAAATAAATGGGGTAAAGGAAAAAATTCTGATATGTCACAGCAAAGTAGCTCAGATCCCAATGATTCCTTCCAATTCTGAAGACTTCACTTTCAAAGTACATCCCTGCAGGATCTGCTTTTGAGAACTCATGCTCCCTTACACATGCATCAGTACAGTTGTTTATTCTCCAGCTCATGATTTGCATAGCATGGCATCCCTTAGTGGGGATTAGACCTTGACCACCTGCTCAGTAAAGGCTATCTCCATTACATTAGCCAGCACAGTGATTACATCAACCTGCAGTTGTTTTCAGCACAGCTAACTACACTTGCTCAATTTTGTTATGCAGTGGAGATCCCAGTAACACTCTCTCCTCCCAGTCCTCAATTTTCCTTTATTTCCTTCTCCCTTCCCTAATAACGCACACTGCTACCCTCAAGAGGAAAAGTAATTGCAGACTTTTTCCTCTCAAAGCACTCTCAAAACACCGTGATGCAGACAATGCTGACTTGCAGCAGTCTT